AAATCATTGACTCATCCTGTTCTGGAAGGTGGGTGTGCCATAGTTGGTCCTAAGGACAAGTAGCTTAACTGAATTTATTCTCTGATGTTGTTATCCATGCAATGAATATGCAGGGTCCCACTGGAAACTCGATCAGTATCAAAATCAACTGTCTAACTAACGCTGACAGTAAAGTGGTCAGCCACGGGGACCAGGCAAAAGGGGACTGATGCCAACTATCTGACCAGTGTCTCCTTTCTTCCCTTTTCTTCGAGGTTTTCTCTGATCATGGCAAAATTTTCCCTGATTACCCCTGATTGGTTGATGCAAAAGCAGTGAGCTTTTCCTAAGGCCATGCAAAAAACCCTCCGAGTTTCAGAAAAAGGGGTCCAGCTCCAGTTCGGTAGGACTACCTTCGTGAGGGAGTCAACTTGACTGTCCAGCCTGGAAACGGACTTCTCCAAATGACCTAGGTCTAAGTCTATCTGGGAATACCTACTGCCAATAGCCTTTAAGTTACCCGCCCACTTGGACGTGGACTCTTATACTATTTATACTGATGTAAAGCATGCGTCAGGCCTCTTTTCTGGCCGCAGGATTCAGTTGCTGTTCTTCATTCCAGCAGAGATTGTGACTTGTGAGTCTACCCCTAAATAAATAACCCTCTATTACTCTCAATTCTGAGCTAGTGTGGGGTTTCTTTTAAGCATCCTTCTTCAGGGAACAGAGTTCCCTAATGGTTTGATTCCCAGCAATCAAGGCTGAGGAGCCGATGGCAGTTGCAGCAGCTATTCCTGCTCCTAGTAAGATTGGGAACAGAACTGGCACCAGTTTGACCCTCATTAACCTTGAAGGCCAGCATGAGCTCTCTCCTCTTCTCCGTTATTGGCATATATCTGGGGGACAACATGGACCAATATATAGAGAGTGTGGGTGGTGGTGTGGGTATGACTCTCCAGAGAACTGGATGAGGCATATTTTGTCAAACTGTTAGTACAAGCAAGCCAGGTAGGTTCAGGGGCATACAAGAATGTGTAGTCCTTTAGGCGAGTGTTGAGTCTTCAGGCATTAGAGTAAACCTTAGAAGGTGAGGAAACAAGATTGTAATTTGAGGACATGATGCAGGTACATTGTCCTTAGCAAGATGATTCATCAGCAGCAGAACATACATAAAATTGCAGTCTCTACAGGCCTTTTTCTGGCCAGTCCTCTCCACAACCTGATTTGCTAACGTCTATCCTGTAGTTGTTTTCATTGTTGTTTGTTTTTTACTTTTTGGGGGCCTGTTCACCGATGTTTCTGTCCCACCCGGTCCTTCAGTCATTCAGCCCCAAAGAAACACACAGAGATCTACATTAATTACAAAATGGTTGACTTAGTAGCTCAGGCATTTCTTACTAACTAATTTTTACATTTTATATTAGCTCATTATTCTTGTCTATATTAGCCACATGGCTTGGTACCCTATTCAACGAGGCAGTCACATCTTGCTCCCTCTATGTCTGGATGATGGCTTCAGACTGAGCTTTCCTCTTCCCAGATTTCTTCTGTTCTTGTTTGCCCCACCTCTACTTCCTGCTTGGTTCCCTGCCTATACTTCCTGCCTGGCTACTGGATACTAATAAAAATCAGCATTTTATTAAAAATAATACGAGTGACAGGATAAAAGAACATTGTCCCACAGCAGGGGCCTGCCACCCAGCTCCCAAATAAATACATGGAGACCTGTTCTTACTTATGATTGCCTGGTCTTAGCTTGGCTTGTTTCTAGCCAGCTTTTCTTAACTTAACTGATCCCATATACCTTTTGTCTCTGGGCTTTTACACTTGTTTATTCTATATACATTTTTTTTTCCTTCTTATTCTGTGACTGGCTGTTTGGCTATGTGGCTGGTCCCTTTTCTTCTCCTTTTCTTTCCCTATCTCTTATTCTCTTCTTCCTATTTATTCTCTGTACCTTTCAGCCCCACCTATTCCCGCCCCCTCACTATTATCCATTCAGCTCTTTATCAGACCAATCAGGTGTTTTAGACAGGCAAAGAAATACAGTTTTACAGAATTAAACAAATGCAACATAAAAAAATGTAACACATCTTTGCATCATTAAACAAATGTCCCACAGTATAAACAAATGTAACACATCTTAAACTCATATTCCATAACACTGTCCATCCCCTAGACCCCCACTGTTTCATCCCTGGAAGGAACATAGCGGGGCAGAGGTCCACCTGAAAGTTTCCCATACCCAGCTTTTCTGTGTTCCCATGTCCAGATTTGGGGTGGATGAAGATGTGTATTCAAGTTAGTAAATTCTGGTAGGTCATATCTTTAAGGTGTCTGTGTCCGTGTTTTGTTTTGTGTTTTTTTTTTCTTTTTTTCTTTTTTTTTTTTTTAATTGGGATGATGAATCCGGGGACTGACAACAACCACTTTCACCGCAGTTGACATGGTTAGAAGAACTAGGTAGGGCCCCTTCCACACAGGGATGCTCCTTATCCAAATCAAGTCTTCTGGCTGGAAGTGGTAGGAAGGTTTGGAGGCGGGAGATAGCAAGGTTCCTTTCTCAATCTAGTCAATGCCCTGCCAGGGTGAGCTCCCTGCAAAACCAGCTCTGACTTGAGAAGGAATGATTAGAAATGGCTGCTGGGAAATATCTCAGGATTTGGGGAGGATGGGAAGTATTTCCCAAACATAACTCAAATGGTGTAAGTCTCTCCTAGTACAGAGAACACCGGGTCCTGAACAGGACAAAAGGGAGGAGGTTGGCCCAATTTTTGCCAGTTTCTGTGACTAATTTGATCAATTTCCTTAAGAGTTCTATTCATCCTCTCTATCTGTCCTAAGCTCTGTAGCCTATAAACTCAATATAATTTCTAATTGATATTTAATACCGTTGTCAGATTTTGAGACACTCTGGCCTTGAAGGCTGGGCCATTATTGGACTCCAAAGCTAGGGGAAGTCCAAAAGTAGGAATTATTTCCTGAAGAAGTTTCTTAGTAACTATTAGAGATGTCTCTGTTCAAGTAGGGTAGCCTTCCATCCCTTCTGAGAATGTGTCTACAAACACTAGCAAGTATTTCTAGACCAAAACAGTAGGCCCTATAAAACAGCTGGTAAAGTCTGTTCAGATAAAGGCCCTTGCTGCATTAGAAGAATTTGATGGCCTGGAGCAGTGACTCTTTTTCCCCTTAGAATAAGAACCCTTTCCTCCCCACCCTTCCTCCTGCATTTCCTGTGTGCAATTCTTTTCAGATTAGCCAATTAGATAAGACAGTGAGGCTGGACCTCAGTCAGTAGGGGGGAGGGGGAGAGACTCAATCTCTACTTGAGTTAAATAGAAAGCCGGGTGTACTTCCTTCCTACCTGTCTGTTTGCTCTTTAGGGCACACCCTCTTTATCAAGAGCAAAGTGCTTTTCCAGACACTTCTGTTGGAATGGGTGGTCTTTTTTTTTCTTCGACAGCCTGAGTTTATTTCTAACACTAGGGAGGTGGGAGACGAGAGAGGGGTTGCAAAGGGGGATGGATGTGATTAAAGTTCACTGTATGAAAATCCTCAAAGAGTTAATGACAGCATTGTTAAAAATGTAAATCTTAAAACAAAAAGGAGAACACAATAGACAAACCGATTCTTTTTTTTAATATTTTTATTTATTTATTTATTAAAGATTTCTGTTTCTTCCCCACCGCTGCCTCCCC